ATCGTGACCCACTGCAAACATCTTTGCCATTGAGCCAGCCAAGAGAGCTGGGAAATGCAGCTCTCTTGTGTGAAGTGCTCTGTTCCATCTGCTGTTTTACCTGTCCTTCTCTCTTTCTTCTCCAGTGGCTACAGCAGGACAGACATTCACATAGAAGGCCCACAGATCAACTCTCTTTTGCTGAGTAATTCCAACAATTGGATCACCTCAAACTTTGTTGGGGGGGGTGGGGGGGGAAGATGGGACAAAAAGCTATATTAAATGAATTACCAGTGAAATGTAGGAAAATGACAGAGTCTGAGACACAAAGACCTCTTCTGCAGGAGACTGGAGCGTAACCTCGCTGTGTAGGGTTATCTGATTTAATAAAGTGAACACAAGTGTAACAATGCTTCACAGAGAGCAGACTAAATCCAATCTGGTTGGGACTGGACACATGCAGTTCTGGGCAGGGGGAAAACCACATTCCTCAGAAATCTTATGGACCAGATTTAACATTTACTACGCCCAGCAGCATCACCGCATTCACATCTTCTGAATGCATTTGACTGGAAGAAGAGAAACAGACTAAAATTGAAGGAATTACAAGCATAGCATAGCAAATCTTGGTAAGTCCCAAATATATCAAAATGTTCAAGCGTTTCCCACACTTTCCTTCCTAAGCAGAAAGATAATCTTCAGCCCATAGGAAGGGATAATGAAGATAAGCAACAGAAGAACACTACTCAGGCACATCAGTGCTCAAATGAATGACTTCAGAAAACTAAAAGCTGCTAGAAATAGGACCAAAATGCACCAGGTCAGCCCTAATAACAGAGAACAGCTAATGACTCAAGCAAATACTCTTGTGGGTATGGTAGAATATAGGTAATAAAGCCCCAGCAGCTTATTTTTGTAGTGAGAGCACAGATAATACATAGTTGCTCTATAACACTTTCTGTCAGAAACTTGACAGGTGTGAAGAATTACCAAGAGAAGTTCAATAGCATTTTTGATAGACATCAGGGGTATAAATAATTGTACCATACAAACTGGACACCCAGGAATGCACAGGGCATCACAGCCTTTCTAAAGGCAAACAAATTTACTACATATAAAGATGGTTTTATATAATTTCTTATATAAAGATATAAAATTTGGCTTTAGGCAATTTCTTAAAATTAAAGCAGCCATTACATGCTAATTTTTTTTAATAAAGAGAGAAGAAAAATCTGATTCTTCTAATAGGGGGGAAGAAAACCCAAAATAGCAGATGAATGTATTAGCAGAAATCCAAATTTTCCTTGATATATCTATCTTGAGCTACTCATATAAAAACTGAATCCATTGTTTAAGATGTGCAGTTGCTCCTAGTCTACAGAGAAGTGTGCAAATAGAAGCAAAGCTTCTCAGATTTCAGTTGAAACATCAAAAAGCCCTCAAACTGGGAAGGTATCCCTGTCTAAATTCAGAGGGAAAAGAGCCATGGACTCCCAGGCCCTGAGATACACATTCAACATCAAAGCCTGTGTTTGAAGCATTCACAGCTTTTCTAGGAAGAGCAATTCTATAGGAAATGGATGAATGCCCACTTGCACACCTGGTGCAGAAAGATGCAGGTCAGGTTTATGGTACAGCACTCCCTCATTTCACTTCACAGCTTCATCCTCCCCTGATCGTGATGGCTGTAACCAGGGACAGCACCCCAAACTGTACAGTGTAAGTCATGCATAGAAATACAAAAAATGTTATGAAAGGCAAGAGTTTCAAGGATAGTGTGGACTGGCAAAAAGCAGTGTGACTGTGGGAAAAATTACAACAGAGATCACCCCAAGGTTTTCTGTCCTACATCAGTCAGGCTTCTTGTGACCCCTTGTGATGTGGAAGGGTGGCTGTTCCGTGACATGCCATGGTCAACCTACAGTGCCACACGAATATCTGCTCTGGCATTCACGAGGCTGCTTCACAGAAATTCCATCACATGAAGGGTCTTCTCACTGTCATCAGCTTAGCTGAGGGAGTTTTAAATCCAGCCAAGATTGCCCTCCCAGCATTCAAGTATATGTCTCTAACCAGCTCTTAAATCCATTATGAGTTTTTGATCTAGAGGCTGCATGACCTTTTCTAGGACTTTGATACAAGATGAACAAATAACTGCTGAGCCTCTGAGCTATGTCAAGATAAATTCAAAACGTCCTCTTGATGTCCAGTACTTCTTGGATTCAGTAGGTTAGGGACAGAGGCTGGGCAGAACTGTTTCTTTGTCATTACATTTTCTGCAATTATTTTTAAACTCCCTGGGAATTCGTAATGCCATAGGCAAACATATAGTAGGGTAAGAGATATTTCAGAGATCCTCACATATGAGAAAATCAAGGTCCCTGATTATTCTACCTCAAAATAAGATATTGCCAACAGTTTGAAGTGGGAAGGATGAAAAGGACAGCTGTGAAAATAAAGAAAATTTGCACTCCGTTTATGTATCTTAATGGCTGCAGGAAAACAAATTTTAGAGCAAAATCCTGGAGCACAAACCGAGCTCCAGACTGGCTTGAAAAAATTCCTGGATGTTTACAACCAGCAGTGAGAAGTGCTTCTTTTCATTGATTTACATCACTAAAAGCAAGTGAAGAAAGCTGGCAGTTTTCAGTTTGTCAGCTAATCCTTTTCCACATTTCAAAATTCAACCAAGTCAAACAGCCATACTCTTTGAGTCTGAACATCAACTATAGGTTGAGAAACATTGCCCAAGTAGAACCTCTGTGAACCAGATTGTCATTGGGTTTTTGGCCCTACTAGCAAATTTACTGCATCTGCATGACAACAATTTCCATGGAGCCATGTGAAGTAACTTTCCTGATTTTGAGATCTCCTTCAAGAGTTCCCTCTCACAGGCAGAGAAGATGCAGAGTTTGCACTGACAGACAGCAAACAACAGCAAGAAGCAAGAAGAAAGCACCTTTTTCACTCTGAGGATGGTCAGACATAACAGATGCCCAGAAGGGCTGTAAAGTTTCCAGCCAGCTGAATTTTGAAAATCAAGGCCCTGAGCAACCTGACCTAATAGGAGCTGTTTCAAGTGGGAGTTTGGACAAGATAACAGTTTGTACGAGTTTCTTGGCAGATTTGTGGCAGTTTTTTCCAACCAGGATTATTCCATGATTCTAAGAAGCATGCTTCTGTCACTTTCCCCTTGCTGCTCCTGAACTGTGCTCTCTTATTAAGGTCAGCCATGGAGACCAGGCTGACCTTAACAAGCATCTTTGAATGGAAATTAGAACAGAACCATCCAACAACCAGGTCTGCTCATAAACTTTTTTTTTCTTTGGTGTTGCATAGCATCACTATTTCCAAATAGTTCTCTTTCAACCTGTGAACTTTGTCATAACCCACAAAAACCTGTAAGGAAGAACACTGGATAACTTTTAGGATCAAGTATCAGTACTGCCACCAAAAAAACCCCTGGATACGGATCCTACCCTCTTTTGTAGTAAAGTCACAAAGTTTTGTGGAAGTCACCACAAAATCTCATGGACTAATGAACTCATGCTCTGATCTGTGGCTCATCTGTGACCCTACAACCAAATTCTAGTTAAAAAATTGTTTTTACTTCTCATAGGGATATAGATGCAAACTTACAACACACACAATTGTCAGAAAAGCTGATTAGAGGAGAGAAAATAATTTAAAAGAATGAGCTGCAGTAGGGTTTACCCAGGTACAATTGGGCAGGACTTTTCATGTGTTTGGCCAGCTTCTTTGTGGATTTCTGGGCTTCTCTATCCTCTTTTCCTGTCTCTTAAAGTAAATGTTCTGCAGAGGGGTAAGTGATCTACATTTAAATATCTGCTAGCTAATCCAGATCTTTCTATATGATGTAACAACATCTAGGGGTTTTTAAATGGCAGAAAAGAACAAGTGTTCTCACAGAGCCAGTCTTTAATTTTCAGTTTTCTACCCTGCAGGCTATCTGACTCTTAAGTCTTCTGCCAGTGGAGAATAAGCCAGTTTTTGTCTGCAATCTGCACATTCTGCCTGAAGAAAAAGCACCAGCCCAACACCCTGCTTGGCCAAGGGAAAGCAGGGACACAGTCTTCTGCTGACATGTTTCTTTTCCCAAGGGTGATTGATTGGTACTATCCAGAACTGTGTATATTGATGGTCTCCTAGGGGGAAAAGCAAGATGAGCCCACTAACTGCTCCAGATCTGCAGCCTTTATTTTTTGCAGGTTTGAAGGGCTTTCTCTGAATCACATCCCTCTAGTTGGGACATGCCACTAATTACCTCCTGCTCTTCTCTCTCTCCTCCTACTTCAGAGTGGTGCAGCTCAGCAGCACAGACACATGGTGTGTAATATTTCCAGAGCACTGAGGGAAGTCTGTTGGAGGCTGATGCCTCTGGAAGTGTTGCATACAATACAGTCAGACAAGCAGCAAAGCTTGTCATCTGGTATGGAAAGGAGGAATAGGAAAACTGGTATAGCACACATTAACTATCTCCTTATCTCTCAGACATAAGCAAACCATCCCAGTTCCACATGGCAAGGGTGTCAGTCAGACATTCTGGGAAGAGATGGAAAGATTGTAGAGGGACTGGACACCCCCATCACTTTGGGAAATAAATACTTCCTCTGCATTACCTTTCTCCTGCTCTTTTATACAGCTAGCATGCTTTTTTTGTACCCCTTGTTTTTTAATTAGGCCTTTTTATTTCTTCTACTCCAGGTTTTAGCTCAACCACTCTTCAGCAGAATGGAACAGCTACAAACACAATAAGCAGATGCCACTGGAGCAAATGAAAACACATTCCTTGCCCTGAGGCCCAGCGTGCTGTTCTCTGTCAATGCCTCTCATACTGCGAGTCTCTGTACCAGAGAAAGAGCACATATAATCAACTATATCTCTTTATTTTCCAGAGCTAAAAAAAAATAATAAAAGAAAAATTAAAACTGAAGAAAGCTAAAACAACCTTTCTGAAATTTTTGTTGAAAACCAAAATTGATCAAGACAGCACCACTTACCACAATTTCCCCCCCGAAGAGAGCAAGTTTACATTCACCACATTTCCTCACAAATGGCTTGAAAACATGCCCTGTAAAATAAAGAGAAGGAGAAAAATAATAAGTGACTGGAACACCACAAATAATATGACACTTTCTTCTCTCTCTACTAACATTTATCACCAACTTCCACCATTTTTCCTGGTTTAGGGAAGGAGGCAATTAGATCTGAACCTTCACAACTAATTATTGAATTCCACTCGTATTATGCAAAATATTAAAATAATTGCAGGACTCCCTCAGACTGCTCAGACACATCACTGTCACTGACATGATGGCTATCCAGACTTCAGGGAGACAAGGTCAACAACAAGAAACACACAGCAGCACACAGCAAGTGTGCCAATTATTTCAGATCCAACCCTAAAAAAATTGGTCAACCCAGTATCTCTAAGTCATTTTGTTTTAACAAACTGGTTTTGGAATTGGATGCACGTAGGTTCATGACAGCCCCTTGTTTGAAAACTACACAAAGGGAAAAAAGGGCTTGTGCCACACTTCATTTTTAGACTGTATTAATTACTTGGCGTTCTCTAGGAGAACAAAGAGGGAGAAGGAGGAAGCCAATACAATATCCAGCTTGACACACACTAGGGCCCGTTTGAAGAAGATGGAGAGCAAAAGTGACAAATGCCATCATTTTGCCGACCCTGAGTAAATTTCAAATGACAGCTAAGCTTCATTTTCCCTTAAGGCGAAATCTTTGAAAGAATAACTCATGGAGCACAGACTAACAATGATGTTAAAACGTTTAGTTTGTAAACTCCTAGAAGAGGGGGGAGGCAAGGATTCTGCTGGTGCTCAGGGTTGGGAGGGGTAACTGTGCAGCCAATGGAGAAGAACATCACTTTCAGTGCCCAGGTGAAGCCACACCAGTGAAGCCAGACTAAATCTGAACTGCTTCTAAGTGCCATTCTCCCCCAAGTACGTGGCTGAACTTTTCACCAGAGAGGTATCTGTGAAATTACTGCTGGATGAATAACTTCACAGCTATACACAGATGACTTGGAGCCCTGCACTACTGATCATGAAAACCTGCCTCAGCTGCAGAAACAGCAACTCTTGTGCCAGCACCTCTCCTGAAAGACGCTGTAGGCATAAACAGGAAACAAAAGGGGAATGGCTTCTTAAATCAAGTTATTTTTACTGGTCATCATTACATAAAAAGCAGTTACGAAATTAGAATTTCTATTAAGGAATAACCAAATAAATATTCCTCTAAAACATGGAAACTGAATCACATTGCTCTAAGTCCTGATTAGCAAGCAGGTATTTGATATTATAAAGCTCAGGCTTCATTTGAGCAGAGGGATCAGGGCGGGGAGAAAAGAAAAAAAGCATCATTACAAATCAGAGGAGGCTGTTGTGAGAGATTTTAGAGACAGATATTTTCCAACAGAAAAGTAAAAATGTAAGCATCGTCTCTGCTTGCTTTCCTTGTTTAGCAGTTGAGAAAAAGAGTGGGTATATCAAGGAATAAAGAAAAAAAAATGAACACCCCCTCCTCTCCCATCACCTTTTGTACAGCTTGGCAGAGTTTATGAAAACACTGAAAAAAAAAAAAAAGTGGGTCTTAACTGCTTTGCTCAAACTCAGGGAAGGTGGTTATTATTCCAGCACCATCTATTTCCCTCCCTAGCTTCCAGGCATTTGGCCTGGAAAGAAAACATCAAGTCAAGAAACTCTACTTCTGCCTCCGAACTAATTGGATAAAATCTGCATGCAGAAAAGTTAGAAGCTTAAGAAATGAGCCAGGTCCAAAACAATCCAATGGAACCTCAACTCTGGATTAGCTCATTATTTTCTTCTACACCATGACACTGATTTAAAAATTTCCTTAGAGGAGTGACAAATAAGGGAACTCTGTACTTCATGCTGCTTGTCCCAGGAATACTTGAAAGACAAGGGCTGGCACCACTGCCAAAAGCGGCTGAACTCCCCCCAGCACTGGTGTGGAGCCTCTGGATGCAGCCCTGGCAGCGCTCCCTTCCTCTCTCACCCCAGCACAAATGCCTGTGCAGCAACCAGGACTAAACCAAACTGGGGAAATTCTTCAGACAAGTTTGCGAGTGACAGAATAGAATAGAATAGAATAAAATAGAATAAAAAATAAAATAAAATAAAAATAAAATAAAATAAAAAATAAAATAAAATAGAATAAAAAATAAAATAAAATAAAATAGAATAAAAATAAAATAAAATAGAATAAAAAATAAAATAAAATAAAATAAAATAAAATAGAATAAAAAATAAAATAAAATAAAATAAAATAAAATAAAAAGAGGCCTGTGCTGACTCTAGGGTAAAAGGGAAGAAAAGATGGACCAAGAGTACAGCTCCGCTTGTAACATGTAACATTCCCACGTTACAGCATGCTGCTGCTTTAATACATGCCAAGGGAGCCTGGCCCAAGCCTTTCACTGAGACCATGTATGACCAAAACTAGCAAGGGGGCTAGGGAAAACGGTATCTTGTTAAATCTGAGGCAGCCACACAATTTGCCATATCTCTAGCCCTGCAGGATTTTCAGAACTGTTGGGATGGCAGATAGAAAGCTTGGGGAAGCCTTTTGCTGGATTTTAGATGACGAAAAATGTGCTGTATCTCTTAGGCTACAAAGGAGAAGAGGGGCTTGGAGGTGGAACAGGGAGGGAGAAGGGAAGGGAAGTATTTTGCTGCATAATTGAGGGTGAGGGCAGGACATAGCATGCAGAGTAAACCAAAGATTATTCACTCTTTATTTGTGTTCAGTCTGGGGGCCCATACAGAACTCAATTTCAGTCTTAATGATTTTCATTCTACCCGTGAATGTAGGGGAAATATTCCTTTTTCTTGAAGGCTTTGGATCATGATACATATCTCCAAATTTTAATGAGCACTTTTTAGAAAAGCTCTGCTCACTTTGGAGAGTACAGCACAGGAGATGCAAAATAAATTAATACAGGCCTCAAGGCACACCAATTCTCTTACAATTAGTATAACAAATAGAAGAGGAAACAAACAGTTTGTCCAACCAGTGTCCAAATGAAAGCATCTCCTCCTACATGGTAAGACACAGAAAATCCTTAGCACACCAATGGACATGAAAAGTTGTGCTGAATCTCAGAGCGACATGATTTGAAACATTAAAGAAAAGCAAAACACTTCTGGGGGACAATCAGAGTTATTATCTGCCAGGACCAGCCTTTTCCTGCAGGCAGGACAAGCTTCCACAAACTGCCACTTTTCACCAAAAACCCATATCCCCCTCCTAGTGTTACATATATATCAGCAGTGTAGTTATGTAGCTTGTGGAAAAGTCACTTTCTTTTTGTAAAGAAGTATTTTGTGAAACAATGTGGCAAGCAGCATAACTAGACATCATTTGCGTGTTTGCTTTCATGACATTGTCTGCTTCATGAGACAACCTCTATTTTTCCCCATCAGCTTTCAGATGTGTTTTTGTCAGTTCATACTGGGATCAGAATTAAGTTTATTACTACTGACAAAAGAGAAATCACTGAAAGCAGACATGGTAAATGCTTTTTTCTCAACCCTGCACTCCCAAATCCATCAGCACTCACCAACTTCAAGGGTCTTTGAATCAAATGCATTGTGAATAATCCTAGATGGGAACCCACAAAACTCCTGATTGTTCATTGAAGCAAAAACTGTTCAGTGACAATTTACTCACCATTGAAAACAGATAATAACATGACTGAAAGCATAAAAACAGCCACACACAGAGGGTGCTGGCCTGGTACATGTTGCAGTTCATACGAGTTTCACCCAGCTGGAGGAAGTGGCTGGTTGAAGTCATAAGTGGTCTTACATACTTTTCAAATGCCAGTAGATGCAATTGAGTTTATGGCACTCAAACACAGAAGAAAATCTACATAATTATGAACATCTGTCAGTTTTCTATTAGCAACATGCTTCTGCTGCTGTTTTTTCAAACCTCAAGTAGAAGCAGGCATTCCTGGTGCTTGGGCTGCTATTTTACTTGGCAAAAACTAGGAAGATTAAGTTTTTCATGCTGAACAGTTTACAAAGGAACATGTCTGGATCAGGACGTGTAACCAGTAAATGAGCTGGATCCACTTTGAAAAGAAAGTGTTGGTTAGTCTCTTCAGAGTAATAGCCTGCTTTTTTAAATCTGTTTCAATGTCAGTCATGCTTATGTTACACTACATCATACCACACAGATTTGGGGCCATGAATTGGTCCAAAAAGTTCTTTTCAGTAGTAGGTTACTAGAACTCTGCTCTAGCAATATCAAGCTACTCTTTACGGACTGGTTGAGGATTCTGTCACCCAGGACTCTGCTGACACTGGCTGTTTGAACAAATCTATGGAAGCACACATGTTCAGTTTTTAATAGAGTGCATGCAGCATTTTCCACCTATTCCCACCACCTAAGATTTGTAACCTTACTAAAACCAAAAACCAACTAACCAAAAAAACCTCCAACTGACCAAAACCAAGAAACCCCTTCTAGAAGCAACACTGAACAGAAGGAGAAAAACAATATCCTACATGCTGAATTCACACAGCCAGTTTATAAAGGAACTGCACATCTTAACTTACATAAAGTAATCCTTTACTGTGCAATGCCAGATTACATATAAAGAGCCCTTATCCTGTGAACATCTGAAAGCTTTCCAATGATAAAACATTTAAAGTTTAAGGGAAGCTTATAGGCTTGTTCTTACACAGAGACAAAAGCCTCCCTGTTAGCCTGAAACCATCCCTTTTCTAAGTGAGGTCCCAGATAGCTGGCACATGATATGAAAAAGCCTTGTCATCAACAGGCTTGTGGAGAGAGAGCTGAGGGCAGAAAGAGAGAGCTCCCAACAAAATCTGCTCTTGCAACAAGTCCAGACACACCCCTGGACAACAGCAAAGGAAAAAAAAAAACACCAACCACCAACACTATTAGAAAACTTATACTAAGACAATACTATTCTAGTGGTTTGTCCTCCCACGCAACAGTGCCAAAACTTGGAAAGAGGACAGGGGCTATGGGAGAGGCACTCTGCATTTTTTCATGTCA